CGTAACTTGATGAATGGTGATTCCTGATAAGGAGAGTGTGCCCAAGCAAAGCAGGTCCGTTGGCCAACGCACAGCAAACCAAACGCTGAGATGCCATGGTTCGCAGCCGAGAAAGAGTTTACTCACAAGGCAGCCAAGTAAAGAGATGGGAGAACAAGTCTCAGATTACCTCCCTGAAGTCCGGTTGTCTATTCCTTTTAACAAACCCCCGGGGCAGCAGCGAGAGAGAGGCAGAGAGTAGGGAGCCCCCTGCTGGACAAGAGGTTCATGGCACATTTGGAACTGAAAATCTTATAGCCATAAATCTGTGGGTTTCCTCCTCCACATTGTACTATGTATTTGTGGAGTATGTAGTATTTCACGTATTTATGCCTTGGAGGGAAACTATGCCTGGAAGGAGAAAACTAGCTTTTACTAAGTGTTTACATTATGTCAGACTGGGAACATGCACGTATGGGAATTCACTGAATCTTTAATTTTGCAAACGTCCAAGCATTCATAAAAGTTGGGAGATTGTATAGTGAATCCCCTGTATCCATCATCCAGCTTCAACAAGTAGCAACTCCTAATTCATTGTGGCTCTGTTCCCCCACCCCGCTTTCCCTTCTCCTGGGTTATTTTGAAGAAAATTCGAGGCATCTTATCTTTTCATGTATAAATATTCAGTATGTATACTAAAAGATATGGAATCATTTTTAAAACATTAACAATCATATCACAACTAAAAAATTAATATGTCAAGTATTTTTGTGCTCAAATGTTCCTGATCATCTAATATTTTATGGTTTGTTTGAATCAGAATCCAAATAAGGATGAAAAGAGGCTTTTAAAATGCTTCTTTTGATCTATAGGTTCATCCTTCCCCTCCTACTCTTTCCCTGCAACTTATTTGTTGAAGAAACCAGGTTGTTTGTCCTATAGTGTTTGAGAGGATTTGGCTGACTGCATGCCCACAGAGAACTTTACATCCTCACCACGACTCAATGAGATTAAGTTTTCTTCTCCCCATTTTACAGGTGAGAAAACTGAGGCTCATAGAAGTTAAAAGCCTTGCCCAAACCTTTGCATCCTAGTAAGTGGCAGAGCCCAGGCCTCCTGACTTCCAGCCAAAAAAAAAAAAAAGGGACAGCTTCCTCAGAGCACCTAGTTCAGTACCTGGCACATACTGTGTGCTCCTCACTGGTGGAGAGGGCCACCTTGGGGCTGCCTGGGCAATCCTAGGGCCAAGTCCACGAACACAGATTCCACAGACCCCACAAACCATGAAGCCAGACTTTTCTTTCCACAGGCTCTGCTTCTTTCTCTCTGTCCTCTCTTCATTAATTTATCCAATAAATAACTACTGGGCACCTCTCACATGCCAGATGCCATCCGGGCATATGAATGAGTATGGCTGTGTGCCTCTGTACATGGGTAGATGGGTATGGTCTCAGGGAGAAGTGGGTTCTACTTCTAACTCTGCATGTAGTGTGTGTGTGTACACAAGTCTGTGTACATTTGTATCTCCAGATCTAAATATCCCTGTGGTTGTCAATGACTACAATTGGCTATATAGTTGTGTGTTCTCAGTATCCTTCCATGTAAACGTGCGTGTGTTTCTATGTATGACACAGTCACTGAGAAAACCTCCACAAATGTACACAATTATGTATGCATATGTGTGTCTGAGTGGACCTGTGTCTCTCTGTATAGCTGTGTGTCTACACACGTGCATCTCTCTGTGTGCACATATGTATCTGTGTGACTACGGATGCTGGAGCTCTCCATGTTATATATATACTCTGTGTATCTCTGTACGCTTGTGTGTCTACACACCTGTGTATCTGTGTGCATCTCAAAGGGTGGTGTGGGTCTCTACTTTTGTGTACTTTGTGTATCTGTGTGTATGTCCCCTCTGGTGCTGTGATTGGGACGGTCACCTATCAACCCTCACCTGCCCAGATTCCTGTCACCTCCATGCCCACCTATACTAAGTGGCGGTCAAGGAGGACTCTCATGGGAGGGAAAACCTTGGCCCTTCAAACCAGCCCCTGTGCCCAGGGCTGAGGCCCCTGCTGAGGGGAGTGTGTAGAGGGGTTGGAAGATTGTGTCTGCTCCCAGCATCTCGAGGACCCGAGGCCTGATTAGAAGATAGGAGCCTGACTCTGGGCCCATTGACAATAGGCTTTGCTCTGAAAGACGAAACATCAGCCAGCTTCAGAGGGGAAAACATAAAATTCAAGCGGGAACCGTAGGCCCACAATGATCCTGTAGGCCTTCAGTTCAGACGGGTGGGTCAGGTAGGGATGTGGACCCCATACCCACAGCCATCTCCTCCAGAAAGCAGGGCCAATTCCCCAACCACGGGCTGGCCTTCTCCAGGGAGAATGACCCCAGGGTCACCCGGCCTGGAGTTAATCATCTACTCGGGGTATCCCTGGGCCCCATTGGCTGCCTGGGGACACGGCCCTCTGGGCTGAAACCCAAAGGAGAGGAGAGGAGTTCCCCAGCCAATATCTGCCCCACCGGCCCAGGGGAGATGGGGAGGATGCTGTTGGCTACTGGACCTGGTGGGCCCTCAGGAAGCCCACAGTCTGGGAAGGAGACAGCAGCCCCCCACTCAGGAAGCCCCAGTCTGAAGGGAGAGGCCATCCTTGCCCTTACGGGGGCCCCAACCTGGCAAGAAGCAGGACTCAGCCGCAGCTGGGGAGAAAGGACCTAAAAGGGGTGTACGCTTTAGTTGGAAGAAGCGAAGAGGGGCCAGGGTAGGGGCAGAGACCCAGAGCAGCAAAAGCGGGAGAGACCCAGAAAGAGGAAGTCTGAGTAAAGCGTGGCCCGGAGGGTGGGCGCTCTGAAGACGGGTTTGGATGGAGAGACCAGGAAGGGGAAGCACATTTGAGGTTGAGGGTCTCTGAGAGCAGAAAGAAGGAAAATGATTTGGGCTCCAAGGGTTAAGACCACCTCCTCTAGTGGATTCTGGGAAGTGTGGGGATCGGAGGGGCAGCAGTAAAGAGAGAAGAGAACGAAGGCCCTGGAGGTGGCCCCTCAGGGCAAGGGGTACACACCCTCCCTGCCATTGCTTCACTCTGTTGGAACTCAGGATTTCTAAGTAGGAAAACGGAAAAGTCAATGGAGGAGATCACAGAGGTCAGCTCCCGTCTCCCCCTGCCAGGAGTCTCCTGCCCAGGACGGTGCGTGCATGTGCTGTGCTGTGTGTGTGTATGTGCCTGCTCGTGTACGTGTGCACGGGTGCATGCGAACGTGTGTTTTGGTGGGGGATCCTTGGCAGGGTCAGTGCACTCACGCAGCATCCTCTGGGATACCCAGGAGAGAAGAGCCCAGACCGCTGCTCCCCATTCAGGCAGAGCCTGACACCCAGCACAGGGAACACAGAGCTGTACGAAAGGAAGGAAAGAGCAGGGGGTAGGAACTCAGGATGTCAAGGGTCCAGCCATGACACTAACAAGCTGTGTGACCTCGGCCAAGTCACCTCCCCTCTACAGTTGATTTCACCGCCCTCTGTAAAGACAGAGGGTGGGACCCCACCGGGATAGAGTGTACCCGAGGGCAGGGTATGTACAACTGTTAGCACACCAGGTGTTTTTAGGCAGCACAGGGGATACAGTATTAAGCAACAATGAATCACATCCTGTGAAAGTTTTCAAGTCCTTTTCAAATCTTGCTTAAGAGCATGGATCGGGAGCAAAACTGCTTTGCTTCAAAGACCAGCTCCACTGCTTACGAACTCAATGACCTTGTCCCTCACATATTTTTGTGCCTCAACTTCCTCGTCTATAAAATGGATGTAATAATAATACCGATTCTGGAGTCACTGTAAGGATTAAATGAGTTACTATGTGTGAAGTGCTTTGCACAGTGCCTGGCGTTCTGCATGTGTCAGCAGCTATTATTCTATCTTGGAGAAAGCCTCACAGTGTGCTAGGGGACCTCTACCACCTGGTGCTTGCTAACATTCTTTGTTCCCAAGAGAAGCAGACGACACTAACCAGCTGGAATTTATAACATTTTGTTCTCTCTTTATTTGTAAGACTTTCTTTCGAGTGATAATGGCCTTCTAGTTACAATCCTGATGTGGATAAATTTTAAAATTAAGAAGTTCATTTTTTTTTAAAGTCTTTATTGAATTTGTTACAATACTGCTTCTGGTTTTTATATTTTGTTTTTTTGGCCCCGAGACATGTGGGATCTTAGCTCCCCGACCAGGGATTGAACCCGCACCCCCTGCATTGGAAGGGGGAGTCTTAACCGCTGGACTGCCAAGTCACAGGATTAATTCTAGCCACTCATTGAAGAGTTGACTGAAGGGGCAAGGGTGGAAGCAGGAAGTCTAATTAGCAGAGGATTGAGATAACAGAAGTGGGAGGTGATGGAGGCTTGCACTGGGGGTGATGGGGAATGGGGGCGTTGGTAGAGGAAGTAAGAAGGCATATTTCATACTTTTTCATAATTCAGAATGTTAATTTCATTATACCATATTATAACATTTGGTTTCTCTGGCCAAAAAAAAAAAGTTTAAAGAAAAACTTTAACACTAATAAGGGGTGATTTGAAGATATGACAAAATTCTTCAAGGTGGTACCCAGTGGCTGGCGTTTGGCAAACTCTGGTAACCTCGTGATTCCATCTTCTTTGAACTCCAACAGGACAGAGGCATCCCCGCCCTCCACGCTTTCACTCTTCCCCCACCTCTCCCTCCAGTCTCCTCCCTCAGCCAGGCGTCAACTGCAACCTGCTCTCCCCTCTTGCCCTAATCAGACTCCCCCTTAATCATTCAAGACCCCGCAGAGCGCCAAATCCACCTGCGGGTCCCCTGAGCCCTTCCTGGAACCGGCCTTGGCAGCAAATTAAAGACACCCAGCCACCGTTTATCTCTGCCTCGTGACTCTCGCTAGTGGGTTCCATCCCCCCACCCCAGGGGCGGGGATCCTGTCGGCGCCGCCTTCTGACCCATGGCCTGACCCTCCTCAAACGCACCCGGAGGCGACTCCGCAGCCCCCGTCGGCGCCCCGCCCCGGCAGTCCCAGCCCCGCCCCGCCGTAGGTTAAGAGGCCCCCAGAGCCAGGAGCTCTGGACAGACGGTCACTTGTTGGGGGGGCGAGCTGGTTTGGTTGTCATGGCGACGGCGCGGTTGGCCTGGGCCCTGCGGGCCGCCCCTGCGGGCGGGAGGGTGCGCGGCCCCCAAGGCACCGGGGGCGCCCGGAGGCTCAGCGGCAGCACGTGGCGACGGGCGGCCAGGGGCACCAGCCCGGGACGCCGGCTCAGCACCGCCTGGGCGCCGGCCCAGCCCGCCCAAGAGGAGGCCGAGGGCGCCGTGTACGACATCCACTCGCCTGCAGCGGAGGAGCCGTCGTGGACACTGCCCCCCGCGCCCCCGGTGTCGCCCGACTCCCCCGGGCCCCCGGCCGGCCGCTCGCTGGTGCAGCGGGACATCCAGACCTTCCTGAACCAGTGTGGGGCCAGCCCCGGGGAGGCGCGCCACTGGCTCACGCAGTTCCAGACCTGCCACCACTCCGCGGACAGGCCCTTTGCCGTCATCGAGGTGAGAGAGCCCGGCGTCGGCCGGGTCACAGACAGGGGACGGGGGTTGTGTAGCGACGTTTCGCCAGGCATGGCAGGAATGCGGACTCTGCGCAGCGGAGCCAGGAAGGGGCTCGACGGAGCCCAGACGAGCGCCTGGGACTGCGCGAGGCTGTGCGCTCCTCGAAAAGTCTCGCGCCCAGCCCGGGTGAGGAGCCTCGGGTCCCCAGCCCGTCAAACGTGATGCACCAGAGAAGTCCTCCCAACCTGGGCGCAGTTAGGGGTTCAGTTGGCAGTTAGGGAACCTGGATAGAAGCAGCCTGCGTCACCCCTCCCCCTATGGTGTCCTACAGTCCAAGGTCGCAGGGAGGAGCGGAGGGAGGAACACTAGTGTGAGATAAGAGGATGGCAAGACCCAACGGGGCAAAGGGCGAAGCAGGTGGGCGCAGGTGGCCAGAAATGGAGCCTGACAGCTCCTGGGCAGGGTGGGGGCCCCGAGAGGGCCCTGAGGACCCGGCTGTAGGAGCAAGCGGGTGCAGCAGGAGTCAGGGCCGGTGTCGTGCCCGTTGAACGCCCACTCCTCCGCAGGTGGACGAAGAGGTGCTCAAGTGCCCTAAGGCCGTATCCAGCCTGGCCTTCGCCCTGGCCTTCCTGCAGCGCATGGACATGAAGCCCCTGGTGGTCCTGGGGCTGCCCGCTCCCACGGCGCCCTCGGGCTGTCTTTCCTTCTGGGAGGCCAAGGCACAGCTTGCCCAGAGATGCAAGGTGCTGGTGGACGCCCTGCGGCATAATGCCGCCACTGCCGTGCCTTTTTTTGGCGGCGGGTCGGTGCTGGGCGCTGCTGAGCCAGCCCCTCATGCCAGGTTAGTGCTGACCCTGCGTGCCCCTGCGTCCTCAGATCACGCTACTCCACCCGCCCAGCCCCAGACCCGCGGGTCCTGGAGGCAACCTCCTTGAGCACCACGTCTGGCCCCCAGCTACGGCGGCATCGTCTCGGTGGAGACCGACCTACTACAGTGGTGCCTGGAGTCGAGCAGCATCCCCATCCTGTGCCCCATCGGGGAGACGGCCGCCCGCCGCTCCGTGCTCCTGGACTCACTGGAGGTGACCGCGTCCCTGGCCAAGGCGCTGCGGCCCACCAAAATCATCTTCCTCAATACCACGGGCGGTCTGCACGACAGCAGTAACAAGGTGTGTCTCCTCCTTTTGGACCCCACTCCCCGCGACTCTGCGCCAGGCTGAGCCCCTCTCTTAGGTCCCCTGCACGCCTCCCAGACGGGCCCCAGAGTCACTCTCTCTCCAGCCGCATGAGTCGGAAATGGAGTGTCAGGGAAGGACTCAGCCTATGGTGCTCAGATCTGAGCCCCTCATGGCCAAGGACTTCGGGAGGAAGTAAGGGAAAAGGGGTCAGTGAGGAGAGGTCCGTGGGGCGGGGGCACAGTCCTTGTCCGGCTGCAGGTCGGAGGCTCACCCCCTCGTCCTGGACACAGGTCCTGAGTAACGTGAACTTGCCCGCCGACCTGGACCTAGTGAACAACGCCGAGTGGGTGAGCACCAAAGAACGGCAGCAGATTCGGCTCATCGTAGACGTGCTCAGCCGCCTGCCTCACCACTCCTCGGCCGTCATCACCGACGCCAGCACGCTGCTCACCGAGCTCTTCAGCAACAAGGGTGAGGGCCGGGGCGGGGGTCGCGCCGGGGTTTGGGGAGCCAGGAGAAGCGGCTTCCTCTCCAGACAGTAAAGGCTTCCTGCTTTTGCCAAACCTAGGGGAGGTGAGCAAGGAGGTGGACGGCCCTGGGCTAGAACTTGGGTGGAACTAGACAGCTGGGAGGGACTTGGGTGGGTGGGAGGAACCACAGACCCAGCGGAACCAAGTGGAATGGACAGAGCTAGGAAACGTGGGCGGGGTTTGGACGGGTGGGCGGGACCAGGGGCGGGGGAGGGCAAGGGTAGGCGGGACTAGGAGAGGTAGGTGGGACTACAGGCGATAGGCGGAACTTGAGGGACAAACTGCCTGGGGAAAAAGCAAATCCCTGAATGAAAATCGCGCATAAATCTATTTAGATCTTAGGAAGCGTCTCACTATGGAGAGCTCCCAAAGGGAGTAATTGCCCAACCAGCCCCTGTCCTATCTGGAATCCCCACCAGGCTGCGCAAACGGAGGAGCGGAGGGGACCTGGATCTCGGGCCGAACTCACCCCTCCTCCTCCATCCCACCCCCAGGGTCCGGGACGCTGTTCAAGAACGCCGAGCGGATGCTGCGAGTGCGCAGCCTGGACAGCCTGGACCAGGGCCTCCTAGTGAACCTGGTCAACGTCAGCTTCGGCAAAAAGCTCCGGGACGACTACTTGGCCTCGCTGCGCCCGAGGTTGCACTCTGTCTACGTCTCTGAGGGGTGAGCCTGCGGGCCCCAGAGGGCAGGGACCAAGGGACAGAGCCGGGGAGCTTTGGACCAAGGAGAGGTCCCAGCCTGCCTCTCCCCCGCTGCGCCAGGTACAACGCGGCTGCCATTCTGACCACGGAGCCTGTACTTGGGGGCACCCCGTATCTAGACAAGTTTGTGGTGAGCTCCAGCCGCCAGGGCCAAGGCTCCGGCCAGATGCTGTGGGAGCGCCTGCGGCGGGACCTGCAGACGCTTTTCTGGCGCTCCCGGGTCACCAACCCCATCAATCCCTGGTAGGTCCCGCCCCTCCCGGCTCTGGGCTGGGCCCCGCCCCCACTCTCCTCTCCAGCTCTGGCCACCTACGCCCCGGGGACCACCAGCCAGGAAGGCTGGGCCTCCCCTTCTTTCATTAGCCATTCTTCCCCAAGGGAAATGGCCCGCTCAGTGTGGCCCCACATTCCCCAGGGAGTGGACCACACACGGAGCCTGAGATTTCCCTAGAGGCAGAGCACACTTAACCCGGCTCTGCCCGGCTAGGGTAGATTCCTTGAAGACAGTCTCCACCCGGGAAGCAGCCTGCCTCTCCCAGGGTCTGCAGAAATCCAGCACCTCAGGGCTCTATTCCAGACCGAGTTGCCAAGCTCCGACCCCAGGCCCACTGCATCTCCAGTGGAACACTCCCTCCTCTCTTTCCTTCTGCAGTTATCACCTCATCCCCCACTACTCTGCTCTGTGGGCACCAAGAAGTGAACAGGAACCCCTCCCCGGGCTGCACAGCCAAGGCAGCGTGCAGAGAGCAAAAGAGGGCCTCACTCTAACCCTCCTAGCTGTGTGACTCTGGCTAGTTAGCTAACTTCTCTGAGCCTTAGCTGCTTCTCTGTGAAAAAAGCATAACACCACCAGGCTATTGGCTAATGCTATAAGGATAAAATCAGATTACACACCACAGGTCCTAGCAGAGTGTCCAGCATGTACAGGCATACCCCAGAGATATTGCCAGTTTGGTTCCAGACCTCCACAATAAAGTGAATATTGCAATAAAGTCAATCACATGAATTTTTTGGTTTCCGAATATATATAAAAGTTATGTTTACACTATACTGTAGTCTATTAAGTGTGCAATAGCATTATGTCTTTAAAAAAAGTGTATATCCCTTAATTTTAAAATACTTTTATTGCTAAAAACTGCTAACCATCACTTGAGCCTTCAGTGAATAATCACCTATTTGCTGGTGAAGGGTTCGAAATATTGCAAGAATTACCAAAATGCAACACAGAGATACGAAGTGAGCAAGTGCTGTTGGAAAAATTACCCTGATAGACTTGCTCCACACAGGGTTTCCACAAACCTTTAATTTGTAAAAAACGTAATACCTGCAAAGCACAATAAAGTGAAGCGCAATAAAACGAGGTATGCCTGTAGTAGGTCCTCAGTAAATGAACCAGTGAGCAGTGAGCACTGGCCTTGCCTAAAACCTGTCTCCCACCTCCACCAGGTACTTCAAACACAGCGATGGCAGCTTCTCCAACAAGCAGTGGATCTTCTTCTGGTTTGGCCTAGCCGACATCCGGGACTCTTACGAGCTGGTCAACCACGCCAAGGGGCTGCCAGACTCCTTCTGCAAGCCGGCTTCTGACCCAGGCAGCTGACCCTCTCTACCAGCCCTGCAGGCCCTGGCACAGCCAGGGTGGACCAAAAGCCATGCCTGCTGAAGGTGACCCGAGGCAGCCACAGGCCGGACCAGGCTTATTGGCTGAGTGAGCTGCAGAGAAGGCAGCAGCCCCTACTCTACCCTGCCCAGAGGGGGGCACCCAAGTGAGGACAAGTGCAGGAAGGAGAAGGGCCTGCCCAAGACCCCCTCCTTGCTCCAAAGCCACAACCAGATGGCCTTGAGTTTTCAGTCTAGGGATTTGGGGGGAGGAGGGCTAGCCTTTGAGGGCTCTACTCAAGGCTTAAGGGTGGGCCAGTGTCTGTGGTCTCTGTGCTGTTTTGAGGCTCCCTTGCCCAAAATATCACCCACATCTGCCTGATATTCCACCATTCGTTTTAGTTCCTTCGGGTCTTGCAACTTTTCAGGAGACCTTGATTAAAATGCAAATACTTGTCTGAAAGTCAGCTCACACTTGAAAGGAAATTAGCAGTGACCCTCTGGAAACAAGATGTTGAGGGCTGGGGAACCTCTTCCTAGAGGGAAGAGAGGAGCTAAATGAGGCCGAGGCCCCCAGATGAATGCTGCCACCACCTCCCTCCCCCAGCTGTCAGCAGTCCCGAGAGACTCCCCTACCCCTTAGTTAGGAAACATCTTCCATGCCACAGACCAGACTGACAGCAGCCCCAGCTCCCTTTCCAGGCAGGGCTCAGGGCCAAGCCCAGACTTGGATGTTTTCCCCTGGGCCCCCCTGGAGGTTGTGTCTCCATCTTTGCAGGAAGAGAACATCTCAGACGGGTAGGAGTCCAAAGCCTGAGGTTTCATTTCACATTTCTGTCCCCCACCGTGTGCCAGGAACCATACTGGCTGCTGGGGCTACTTTCTGTCAGGAGGTGTGCGGACGAGTAGGGAGAGGGTCACCATGGCGCACACACGGGGCTGCTGTGACACAACCCACCCCCAAGAGAGGGCTGGTGTCCCGTACATATCTGGGCGTGGGCATCAGACAGACCTGACCTGGAACCCAGCTCTGTGGCCTGAGGCAAGCTGCTCACCTTCTCTGAGCCTCCATTTCCTCACCTGTGAAATGAAAACTCCTCAGCCTCATAGTGACACTTATCAGTTCTCTCCCTCCAGCTGCCCTCACCAAAGGTTTCTTCGAAAAGACCTGGCACCAAATGGGGAGGAAAAGCTAAGCCACGAGAGGGACTGAAGTGAAAGGTCAAAGCATATACCACAGGGAGCATTCGGAGACTTGAAAAGAGAGCCAAAGGACTGTGGGAACTCTCAGAACAGGGGGAAGATCATGGGCGGATCAAGGTGGGGCTTAACCAGATATGGTATTTCAAGAAACCCGAGATCAATCCCAGCCAATGGCTAAGTGCCCCGTGGGGAGAACTGAGAAGCAAAGCCAAATGTCTATATAAAATGTTTATTTTCGGAGGACTGTGTGGTCTGGTGTTTGGGCGGGCACTCACCCCCACCAGGCCAACCACGGAGCTGGAAACAGAAGGCCAGAGGCAGGAAGCTGGCTGCTGCCTGTCCCACCCCTGCAAACCCCAGAGTAAACTGGGGCCTGCTCTACCCTCAAGGTGGGTGACAGCTAGTGCTGTTTCTGCCCCAGCACACCCTGAGAGCCCACATGACTTCCGTGGTGCCCGGCCCCTCTGCTCCTCCTGGGCCTGAGCCACGTGTCAACGTGCACACTCACTCGCTCTCAGTCTCAGAAAAGCACTGCGGAGCCTAGCTACATCTGCCAGGTTCAAAAAGGGCTGTTTCACATTGGCTCTCTTCCGGTTCTCCTCTGTCTCCCACTCTCAGTACCCCACCCTAGCCCTGCCTTACTCCCTTCCCTGGGACAGGAGACCCAAGGGAGCAGCTGGCCTCAGCTCTCCTCATAACAAACAGGAAAAAGAAACCTGTAAGGCAGAGTCATCAGGGCTCCCACCTCACCAAGGCCCAAGCCCAGGAACTGGGGAAGAGACCTGCCTCTTACCAACACACGCACACACATGCGTACGCACACACATGCACACAACGCAAGTGATCAAACAAACAGACCAAAAAGCATAAGTAAACATAACTGGGCCAGCAAGGAGGAAGGCAGGGTAGCCCTCACTGGCTCCCTGCACCCATCTCAGACTCCCGCTGTGCAACTCAGCCGTCGGTGGCCAGGATGACAGCGGCCCCAAAGATGCCCACGCTCTCTCCAAGGAGCTTCATCTGGTTCCAGAACTCAACACGCCGCGTGTTATGCCAGTAGGCAACGTTGCCATCAATGAGCAGCATAACCGGGGGCAGCAGAACAGCCAAGATCTGGGCAGCCAGGGTCACGTAGTAGCCTGACAGGAAAGCCAGGGCCAGGACGCCATACAGCACGAAGAAGAGCTGGATCATCAGCTCCCCGCCTGGGAGATGGTTCAGATACGCCAGCCGGTCCTCCTTGCTGTGCTGCAGCGAGTAGGCCTAGAGACACACCATCCTCTAAGGCTCTCCAACAGGCTGAGGAGCCTATCTGGGTAAGGCCACCCCTGGCATGCAGGTAGCCCCTACAAGGTGGGCTTCTGACTCCCCTCTCAGACTTGGGGCTTTCTGAAAGTAAAACCTGTGTCTCCCCATCTGACTAGGGAGCTCCATGGGGTTAGGACCTCTGTCTCTCCTCACTCTGGGGTCTCAGAAGGGAGGAGGTTCCACGGTCAGACCAGGGCTCTCACCTCTGAATACAGAGCTCTGCACATGGGAGATGGTGCCCAGCAACTAAGATGAAGCCAAGTGACTTGGGGCCTGTTCACGTCCCCATCCACACTGGCCTCCCCGAGCACCAGGGAGGACATAACTGGCTAGACTAGGCAGCCCCATCAGCTCTAGGTGGCAGAGTCCCATTGGGGACCTGAACTCTACCCAACCTCTCCTTTGTCCCCTCTCCCAGTCCTCTGGGGGTGAAGCCATGAGAGCACCCGTCCCGCTTGCTCTTCTGGCTCTCAGGCTTGGGACTGAAGGGTCAACCCATCCTCTTCTCTCCCCAGTGGCAATAATGCCGGAAGAAGGGGCTCTCGGCCAGGTCTCAGGCACTTGAAGGGCCCCCGACGCCCAGAATTTGGCAGGGGCCACTGCCGGGAGCCAGGCACGGGCTCACTTCTCACTCCCAGTCAGGCACCTCCAGCCCACAGTCCCCCAACCTACCACGCAGATGAGGTAGATGCCCAGGAAGACCTGGCCGGTGGACTGGAGGGAACGGCTGCGGGGTTTCCGACGGTACAGCTCCCCAGCACCGCTGGCCAGCACAAGAAAGCCACCGATGATGGCAACTGTGCGAGAGTACATACGGACCTAGGCCGAGGTGAGGGGACCCCAGTCAGGACCTGAAGCCACCACACTTCTCCTGGCTTCCCGGAGCGCAGAACTGCCCATCTCTATACATCCCATTCCACCTGACGAACCCTCTTACCATTTCCAAGTGTGGTGGGCAGGTAGAGCAGAGATAGGTAATTTTTTTTTACCAGAAGTAGAAATGGAGGCCCAGAGGGGTTAATAAAATTGTCCAAGGTCCTACAGAAAGTAAGTGGCAGAACCCAGATACTAAGCGTGGCCCCCCTCCCCACCCTCAGGTCTGCACACTCGAAGCCCAATGTTCTCTTTGCTATATAGTATACGCTGTTCCTTAACTAACCGTTGATCTCACTGTCCTATAGCTATTCACACATCTGCCTCCCCTGTTGGACTGACAGTCCACTCCTTGCGGGTGATGCCTTGGTCCAGGCTTATCTCCAAGCCTGTAGTGCCTGGCACAGGTCCTGGCATCTACAGGCTTAAATGCTGCCCTAGGATTAGATAAATTTCATAAAATCGGTTGGGTGGACCAGGTACTCTCTAAGGTCCCTTTTGCCCTATGAGTCTGAGATAACTAACGGTTTAAAGGGTTCTGGGAACCAGGTGACCTGGGTTCTGGTCACACCTGTAATGCTAACTGTGGTGTAACTTTGGGAAAGTCTGTTTTGCATCTCTGGACCTCAGTGTCCACACTCTGAAGGGGAGGTTTGCGTGGTGTCTAAGGTCCTTCCATTCTCGCCGTCTGTAATAACGTCTGTAATACACGCCTGGGGGTTCAGCCTTTCCAGGCTTCGCACTGTGCTCCTGGATAGCACCAGGCATCGCCCAACTGTCCCGGGCATTGGCTCCCCAACACCCCAGCGAAGTCCCACTTAGGGCCGAGGCGCTCACCTTCAGCCAGTCCCCGTAGTGGACGTAGCCCCCGATGTAGGCGGCGTAGGTACTAATGGCCAGCTGGAGTGCGGCCCCCAGAGCGAACCAGCGCCGCTTCACTCCAAAGGACATGAAGCTAGCGCACAGCACGGCCGCCCCCATGTCGAAGTACAGGTAGGGCACTGGGATGTCGGGCTTCCTGCGAGCCGGGAGCGGGGAAGGAACGAGGACAGCATGAAGCACAGAAGGAAGCGGGGAAAAGAGCCTTGAGACCCCTTAGGTTCCCGCAAGCTCCACTGCTTCCCCAAACCGGCGGCCCCTCTCATAGCTAGGACCCCCACACTACGCTCCATGCCCACCTTGCTCCGGACCAGAGTCCCTAACAAGTCCAAGGTCCCAATTCCTCCCAGTCCAAGGGTCCCAACTTCTGGGCCGCAACTTCTTCCCCACCTCACCGCACCCTCGTTGCTGGGACAGGCCGGACCGCCCCCACCGCGTTCGGCGGCCGCGCGGGCCTGCTCACCGGCGCGCCTCGGCCCTCTCAGCGTACAGCATGAGCTGGCTGAAGCAGCCCCAGAACGGGCAGCGTGTGAGCAACACCGAACCCAACTGCATGATCAGCTGCAGCATCCACCGTCGCGAACCTATCTTCGACGCCATCTTGAGGAAGGGCAGTCCGCCGCGGCCTCACCCCGCGGCCCAGGAGGCCGGCGCGAGGACGCGACGCACAACTTCCGGCTCTCGCGGGGTTTTTTTCCCCCACTTCCGTCAGGAAACAAAGCTCTCGCTCTCTAGTTCTGGACCGAAGGAAGTGTTCTAGCTGCAGGGTTGTCTTTCCTTCTGCCCATGGAGGCTCAAGGGTCCCTTCTTGTAGCTGCAAAGTTGAAAACTAGAGTAGAGGAAGGAACAGTAAGCGAACTAGCCTTTGAATGCAGCTAAACTTAGGCTCCAACCCCTAATGCAACCCTGTGACTTTGGGCATATCGCTACACTTTCCAAGATTCATCTGGGAAACGGAGATGACGCCTATCTCACAGGGTTGTTGTGAGGTTTAAATGTGACAGTGTTGGTTCGAGCACATAGTAGGGGTTCAATAAATGGTGTATACAACACACACCCCAGAGGAAATCCCTCTGCTTCTGTGCTGAAAGTAAAAGTTAAAGCTGAAAGTAAAAGGTTTTCCCCATAATTCAGAAAGACACATGCACCCCAATGTTCATTGCAGCACTACTTACAGTAGCCAGGACATGGAAGCAACCTAGCCAGGACATGTCCATCAACAGAGGAATGGATAAAGAAGATGTGGTACATATATACAATGGAATATTACTCAGCCATAAAAAGGAACAAAATTGGGTCATTTGTAGAGACATGGATGGACCGAGAAACTGTTAAGAGTCTTTACAGAATGAAGTAAGTCAGAAAAACAAATATCATATATTAACGCATATATGTGGAATCTGAAAAAATTGGTATAGATGATCTTATTTACAAAGCAGAAATAGAGACACAGATGTACAGAACAAACATATGGATAACAAGGCGGAAAGGAGGGGGTATGATGAATTGGAAGACTGAGATTGACATATATACACTATTGATACTACGTAGAAAATAGATAACTAATGAGAACCTACTGTATAGCACAGGGAACTCTACTCAATGCTCTATGGTGACCTAAATGAGAAGGAAAACCAAAAAAGAGGGGATATATGTATACATATAGCTGATTCACTTTGCTGTACAGTAGAAACTAACACAATATTGTAAAGCAACTATACTCCAATAAAAGTTAAAAAAAAAAAAAAAAAAGAGGTTTCCCTAAGAGCCACTTGTAGAGAAGTGTGATCTTGGTCTGGCTTCCTTCTGTCCCCTGAGAGAAGAGAGATCTGATGTGGACATATGGGACAACTCAGGCAGTCCATTTCTCCAGCTCCGACGCTCCCACTCTAGCCCAAACTACCACCTTTTGTCAGTTTAGCTGCACCAGGTTTCCAGCTGGTCTTCCCCACTTCTCCTTTGGTGCTGTTTGTTCTTAGTTCCTCTATTTTATGTTCTCATAACCAAAAGGCACCCTTCCTTTGAATCAGCAGAGTGGCAATTATATATTTGTGATTTTTTTGTTGTCATTGATGACAAGATTAACACTAGACTGTGAGCTCCATGAGGGCAAGGACAGTGTCTGGTTTCTGTTTACAATTATATCCTCCGGGCCTAGTAGACAGGATGCATTCAGGAAACGTGTGCCGAACAGATAAATAAATGAAAAGGTGTTACCGCTATTTCTTGCCTGAGGAATCATTTGCTGAATAAGTAAATGAGCAAAAGTTCTGGACACTGGGATTGCCACCACAAAGCCACCCCCACCTATCTTCCTGCACACCCCACCACCACCCTGCAACATACAAATTCATCTTCTGATATTCAAGTTAAGACTCTACAAGCACTTCCACAAGGCCATTTAATTCAGGAGGTCTGTTTTCATTTCCCTGGGAAAGGGACCTCCTGCCCAAGAAACATTTCTGACAATATGAATTTAAAATTCCCAATCAGCCAGTGAAAGCTTGGGACAACAAAACACCTTTTCACATCTAATTTTTTACAAAGTCACTAGGATAAAGCCTGGGTATGTGAGAAGGGATGTATCCAGGCAGAAAACTAGGGAATGAGATTGTGTGATTGCGGGGTGGGAAGACGCCAGTCAAGGGGAATGAGAAAAAAGACTGGGTTAAAGATCATTTTGCCTTTCCCTCCTACCCCTCCCACCCCCCACCACATGAGGCAAGTTTTCTTCACCAAAATGCAGGCACATACTACAGAATCAACTTTCCAACTGATTTTCTTTTTCCAATCTCCTCACCCAACCCCGATTCAAACGGGACAAGATGCACAGCCGTCGGGAAGGAGCTAAGGTGTTGAGAACTGGGATAGTGTACATCCACAAGATAGTTCTAGGAGCCTGCCTGGGTTGTGCCCACGGGAACAGTACCCTTACCCCACCTCCATCATAACTTTAGCAACCAGTTTCTGATCAAGTCCCCAACAGCAGAGGCCAGGGACATGTGTGAGGAAGGGGAAGGAGATGAGGATTAATGCTTTCCTTGTACCCATCCCACCCCAGTTCCCTCTGGTCTTCAGTTTCTACCTTTTAGTGTCCTCTTCCCCAAAGAAGTGTTGAGGACTAGGGGCCAGATCCCTCTTTCTCTAGGGCTGGAAAAGACGGCATTGTGCTATATCGGGGGAAATATGTGAGGAGGGTGGTTGGCCCTCGGCCCTGAGAGATGAACACAGCCATTTCTCTCCCCTCCCACCATTCCTCCCACCCTGCCTGGGCAGACAACTGAGCCCCGAAGACTTCTAAGGACCATCCCTTTTCCTCTCTCACAGCTTCATCTTCTCCCCCTCCTCCAGCTGCCTCTCTAGAGGGCTCCCCTGCTCTCCAGTTCTCCTGGGGCCCCACCTGCACTTGCACTCAACCATGACCACAGCCACATTGACTAGAATGGTGCCCGATACCTAGCCAAGGCAGAGCTGGGGCTCCGCACTGCTTAGCACCGCCCCGCCAGCCGCCCAGGGCCATCACAAGTCATGCTGCCCAGGTCAGCCACACACAAGCGCCACAGGTGGTCCAGCTTCCCAAAGGCCCACCGCAGGTCAGTCGCAGACCCAGGGGTTGCTGGTCAGCAGCAGCAGCATGCCTGCTGTCCGGATGCCCGCCACATCTTGAACTTGACATGCTGCAGCAGGCTGCCTACAATAGAGAGCTGGCCCAGCACCTGCAGGGCTGCAAAGGCCTCAGCCTCCTGCTTGCTGACGTCGGTCCCAGCCAGAGAGCACCTCCAGGCTGGCGCCCCTGACTCGCTGTGCCGGTTCCCAGCCAGCCCTGCCCGCACAGGTGGAAGAGGCCCCTGGCTCCAGCAGTGCCCAGCTCAGCCCGGCTGTGTGGCTCAGGTCCAGCTGCCCCAAGTTTCCCAGGCCCCACAGGCTGCAGGGCTCCAGGGTAGCAAGCAGGTTGTGATAGGTCTAGACAGAGCAGAGAGCACAGGGTGATGGAAAAGTCTGGGCACAGGTGAGCCAGCTGGTATGGCTGAGGGCCAGATGCTCCAGGAAACCCAGGCTCCTCAGCCAGGGCTCCACCAGCCAGATCCCACGGGACACTGTGAGAAAGCAGCGGCACCACAGTCCCCACAGGCCCTGGAAGGAGCCACCTGCCAGGTGGCTGAGACTACTGTGGCTCAGCGCCAGGAGCTAAACCGTCAGGGAGCCTGGGGGGGGCTGAGCAAGTGGGGCCCCCACAGTCCACACAGTGCCCAAGGCTGGGCAGGTACCTGGTGCTGGCCACGCTGCCGCCAGACTCCCAGCAAGGCCAATGCCACCATTGTGGCCACGGTCACCGTACGGAAGGAGTGGCCACACCTGCCCCATCCTTGCCCCGTGAGGGGCTGGAGTGAGGGTGGCACCGGGCCGTCATGGATGCTGAGAGCCCACGCCACCCTCCTCCACCCAGGAGCCCGGGGAAGCACGGTGATGCCAGGAAAGAAAAATACACGCCAACACCATTCAGAGGTCGCGCCATGTTGCCAGGTCCCCCAACATGGTCTCAAGGTCACCTTCCCTCCATCTCCCAAGATTTTACCTGCTACCTAGGCTTCTGGCAAAAGCCAAAATTTCAGCCTGAGACCCCAGCAACCAGATCCCCCAGCCCCAGACACCCGCCCCCCCATTCCATTATTCCTACTAGGATGACAGACAATCGAGGAAGGCGGCCTTTTTAATCCTCTCGACCTTTTTTACTCACACTCCACACCCCACCTCACTTATTTCCCACACGATCGCAGGAGAAACGCTGCCTTCTCCTGCAAGAAGAGCTTCAGCTAGATCCTAGCCTAATTTGGCCACTGAGGTCAGGGACTCAGGCGGAAGCCCTGGGCACTCACATATATTCCTGGCACTACTTGCTGAGTGCAATCCCAGCCCAGGAATGGCAGAGGAAGCTCAGCTCTAGTTACCTGCCTTGCTGGCCTCCTGCCAGAGCCCCACCCCCCAAAGCAGGAGCAATCAGCTCTCAGGAAGCCATAATCCTGAGGGTGGGGATGGAGGACAGGTTGAGGACATCTCCAAGGCCTTTTGGCCTTATATCCAGGGGGGCAGGACCCTGCCCTGCTTTTCTAAGAGCAGGTGTTCCCCCCTCCACCTCTTTCTCCCTTCTGGAGACCCAGGCCCTCCTCTACTTCTTGTCAGGATGGCAGCTGGAGGCCCCTTTGAGCCCTCCCTCAAGTGAGGAAGCAGCCAGGTGTCTCTTCTTTCATTCTTACTTCCTGCCTAAGACATCTGGACGCAAAGGAAGGGAATGCTCGCTCTTGTTCTCACTAGGCCAAAGGTCAAAGTACTCCACTCTGGCCTTCCAGGAGTACCCAGCATCTCCTTCTGAAACAGAGGGGTCTGGGGCCAGGGTACCCCGTGCTTCTGCCTTGCCCTGGGAGGCTAAACAAGTTACTTTCCCTCTAGGTTCCTGAGTGTGCTCACGAGCCCCACCCAGCAAACTCTTAAAGAGAATAATAATAATGGCCGTATGGAAGAGATGGTTACCAAGGGCCAGGCATCTCATTAAAGGCTTCATTTAATTCTCAACTAAGACACTCATTTCACAGATGCGGGAACTGATGCTTGGCAGGGCAAGGTAAGTTGCCAAGTCATACTGCTAACTAGTGGCAGAGGTGAAATCTGACATGACTCAGCCTTCTTTGAATCCAGGCAAGCGCCTAACCACTAAGCTACAAGGCCCCAAAGAGTGGGCCACTGTTTCCCATGCCAGCCAAACATCCCCCTAAGAAGTCAAGGTCCCAGGTGAATAATACAGATGATGCCCAGAATGGTAAGAGCAGCTGAGCCACCACCAACGTGGGAAATTAGTCTCGGCTTGTGGTTGATCAGACTTGAGCCCCTTTGAATTAATTCAAGTGTGATCTCGTTCAAGCAAATTATACCGGAAAAACTTGAGGAATCAGTCAATAATCTTTGAGAAAACATTACACACAGAGGGTTGCCAGAGACTAGAACTCAGCACAAGTTCCAGTTTTCAAAAGTCGATAAATGTAACAACAGTTAACAAAATTTAAAAAGAGCTCATGAAACAGGTAGTCTCATCAGTTACCGAAAGCATGATGGCCACTAGGTGCCCATGTGAGTCTACCCAAACAAGTTTATTTCCCTTTTTGGTAAGAGTTGTCATGTGGCTATCACAGACAAACATCTGGATCTTATTAAAGTCTCTCATGATATCCCTTTAGATAATATGAAAAGACAGTTTATAAAAACTGGAACACAACATTGGGATGGATAACTAGTATATTAGATTATAGCACCAAAATTTTTTAAAAGCTCTTAAGAGGCTGGAATAGTTGGCTAAAAATAAGCCATTTCACTGGAGAAGACAAGACAGCTCCCAGTCATATCTGCCTGTTTAGCTACTTCAGTGACCCTCACTCAAGGACATAAAGAGCAAGGACTAGAGTGCAGGAGACCGGAGCTCTAGCCTCAGTTCTAGAGCTGCTGCGTGGAGGACCAAACAGCGAGGTACAGCTATCACACGTTGCTTTTCAAAGTAATGAGCTCCCCATCAATGGAAGTGTTCGAGTAGGGGCAGCCTGTCAAGGATGCTATAAGAGTGGATATTTAAACTGGGAGGCAGTTTAAATATCCATACAAGCTCCAAAATCGTTGGCATTTCTCAGTGCTAGGATACCTGTGCTGAGCTTCGGACACCACACCTGGGCCACCCCTGGAACTAGAAGCATCCTGTCTAGAAGCACACTGTTCACACACTGCCTTCTGGAGTTACATGGCTGCATATCCTTCCATTAGCCAGTGCATGTGAATGACGGCACGACACTTTCATAAAGGTTAATCTGAGCAAGAACTGAACTGTATTTGACAGGAGCATGCATTGTAGGGGTCAAGGGACCACGGCTATAATCACTCCCCCTTGCAAACATCCTCAGCTGAATTCCCTTCTCCCACCACAGTACAGACCTGATAAACCTCCCATCCTGCTTATACCTAACCATCCACTCTCTGTGTCTACACCAAGTCACTCAATATGACTCACACAGTGGCCACGCGGTTACACCCTAATGCTTGAGCAAGCACCTCTGAAGAGCACTCAGCAATCTTAAGGTAGTTCCCTCATGTGTTTACTGAGCCACTGGCCACATACTCCTTCACCCCCAGCTCCCTGCCAAATCTACAAACTCACCTGCAACGGTACTATCTTCTCCTTCCTTCCTCTTTATTATGGAGGAAGAGCCCCCTTCAATCAGAGGCCAAAACCCCTACTGTGGCCATGGATCCTCATCCGCTTCTCGGCATTCAGGACGAGGTCACAACTCCTAAAAGTCTAGCTCCAGCCCACTCCTCTCCTCTGAACTCCAAGCTCGTTATCCAGCTGCCCATTTGCCATCTGCCCTCCAGCTTTTCATGGGTGAGACAAAATAACAGAACTCCACTTTCCCACAAATCTCTTCCCCTCCCACTGTTGGCCATCCACTCAGATGTCATTCTTAGTTCCTCTTTCTCTGACCACCTTGCCCTCACATCCAATCTATTAGCCAGTCCAATCAGTCCTGCAATGTTTCTGCCACCACCAACTCTTCTCTGAACCACTGCAACAGGCTCTTAATGCCAACAGTCTTTCTGCTTCCACTGCTGCCATCTAACATCAGCCTACATCCCCTGACAGCTTAAAACCCTCTAACACCTTCCCACTGTGTCTGAGAGCAGAGATTCCAGTCCCTGCTACAATGGCTACAAGGCCCTGCGTGATCTGGCTGCTGCCAAGTTCTCCATCTTGCTCACCAGGCTTCAGCCTCCTACATTCTAGCAGTTCCTAAACATCCCTAAGCTCCTGTCAACCTCAACTTTACCTCCTGCTGGTCCCTCTAACCAAGCACCCTTTGCTGGCGCCTTGTTCTTCAGATTTCAGCTTCAATTACATCTCAGGAGCCATCCCAGAATACCCTCTTTAGAGCAGTACACGTACCTCCCTACAGTAAGCATAAGCAACTACTTTAAGACTAACTGCTGCAGTCAGCATCAGGATTAGCTGGGGGAAAGGGAAGAGAGGTTGGTTGAGAAGTCACTAGAGAACTGCCTTACCTTGCCAGTTCAGGAACTTAGTTTTTTAGTCTTTTCAACAAAACTGGAAATTTGGGAGGCCACAATCTGACCTACCTTGGTCCTAGCTGCCAAAGTCTGCTCTGGAGAAACCTGGGGGAGGGCCCCGGTGCTGTTCAAGCTGGAACCCGGTAAACCCTCCTCCCCAGCTCCTCCCATGTTCTTTACTGGTCCCTCATCCTTTTTCCAAATTTGACTTCAAGCTTTCCTCAAAACTCAGTCAGCCTGGACCACTTTTCATCTTGGCTCAGGCAACTCATCCGGTTATTAAACTGATGACTTTCAAAACTCTACCTTCAGTCTTACCTTGATGGCTGGATGCTAGGGAATAATACATTATCCTCGCCTTAGGGCCTCAAAATTCCTCATCACACCATTTAAGATAAACCCAAATAACTATAATGCAGGTTATACATGCCACACGGTATGAGTGATATAAACAAATTGTAGGAACCCCTTTCCGTTTTCACTGTCAAAGATGGCTTCACAGGTGGCACTGAAGCAAGATATTGCAGGAAAAGACAGAGAAGATAAAATAAAATAGAACAGATTATTGAGCTTGGAAGTAATCTTAGAGATCACCTAGCCCCCATACCTTTTACATGTATCAGTTCTAAGGTGCCAACTGATTAAAGAGTGCACTCTGTGGGCTGGGGATGAGGGAACTGGTGGGCAAGTTTCTTTTGACATGGTGAAGCACGCTGCATTTTCAGAAATGCAAGGGTCAGGGAGAAGGGTGTTAACATCTAGAGGATATGAAAGATGTCAATAATGTTTTGGGGGGTGGTAGATGGAACATATTTGCCTTGCTTTCTCATTTCCCCGTAACAAGCCATGTAAGGTTTTTATAATAAAGAAGAACAAACCCATTCTGAAACTTCATTGCCCAGCAGCAGTCTATCACCAGTGGATGGCAGCCCAACAGCACCCCTTTTTCACCTGTAAAGTACTTCATGCCGTTATGTTAAACCCCTGAAGTCTAGGCAGTACATGACGATTTCACGTTTCTTAAAGGGGAACGTTCTGGCACCGGCGGCCTCCAGCAGGGATGGGAAAGCAAATCTGCCACGTAAACAATGACTATCCTCCAACCCAGATGACCAATCCCAGTTCCCAAACTCTTGTCCCCAGCCTGTCCCCACAACACATCCCGTACAATGCAGCTTCTAAGCTTCTAGTATTACACATTCTCAGTATCCTCCACATCAGCAGGACAGTAGATTCTATTTCTGTGCATGACTGAAAGCCCTCTACATCTTCCTTTACCAGTATGTCTTATGGGAAAACAGATTTTTGACACACACACTCTTACCTTCAAAAACGTCAAGGAGGGCTTCCCTGGTGGCACAGTGGTTGGGAATCTGCCTGCCAATGCAGGGGACGCGGGTTCGAGCCCTGGTCCAGGAGGATCCCACATGCCGCAGAGCAACTAAGCCCGTGCACCACAGCTGCTGAGCCTGCGCTCTGGAGCCCACGAGCCACAACTACTGAAGCCCGCACGCCTAGAGCCCGTGCTCTGCAACGGGAGGCCACCGCAATGAGAAGCCCGTACACCGCAATGAGGAGTGGCCCCCGCTCGACGCAGCTGGAGAGGGCCCACGCCCAGCAACAAGGACCCAATTCAGCCAAAAATAAATAAAATTATTTTTTAAAAAATGTCAAGGAGCCTTTACCATGAATCAGTGGTTCCTAGGCTGCAGCCCCTTAACTAATATTGAAGTGCTTGAGCAATATTCAATACACGAAACATAAATCAGCAATGAGCTGTTCAGACTTACAACAGCACAGATTCAGTATCAACTCACCGTGGTAAGGCTGTTTTACCATACTGACCAGACGCTCTAATTAGCAGTAAACCCAAAGGCATGTATGTGGTAGTGCGGTGGTGACCGGGTGCTGGGGTGTAAAGGTATGTGTGTTTCAGGAGAAAGGAGAATGCCTCAAAACTAAGGAAACACTGCAAAACCCCCTGTACGTGTTCCACCATAGATGCAAGCCCTCTGCACCACATTCAATAGTTCAATGTTCTTTCCATCCAGGGCACAACTCCTGCCCCTCTCACCAAGCTCCTCTGTGTTCCACCCCAAACCTGGCTAACAAAGTGAACAATACACATACCATCAGTTCGTAAAGTCACAGGGAAGCACTAGGAGCCCACAAGTGCATAAAGCCTGGGGTTTGTCCCAGCACTGCCACTGTGGGCAGCGGCAGTTTCTAAACAAGTCACTTAGCCCTGGTGGAACCCACTCACCTTCTGTAAAATGAGTGGTTTTCAAATTATAATCAAAGAAACTTCTCAGAGACTTCAGGGAAGAGGTAGGGATGAAATCTGTAAGAGACTGAGAGGGCAGGGCTCCGAGGCCCCCTATCTCTGCCCAAATGTTTTACATATTAGCCTCACTTAAAATGGCATCTAAACAAAGACTTCTAAAACAAAGCTGGAGCTTCTGAAAACCAGGTAATTCAATCTCATCTCCAGATTTAACAACCCCAGGACCAAGCTAACATGTATACTAACATTTACAGAGTACCTTCTAAGTATTAAGCATTTTAAATATCTTATTTAACCCTTCACATCAGTTCTAGGAGACGAGCATTAGTTTCATGTTTACAGGTGAGGAAACTAAAGCTTGGACAAATAAAATGACTTATCCACAGTCACAAAGGGAGGAAATGGAAGTGTGAGAATTTGAAGCTAACTATTTATGTCTCCAAAGCCTTTGTTCTTCCTTCCACACTGCATGTCTTTCCCACCATACTAACTCCACCTCTTGAATTGCTCAAAGTTCCCCCACATCATTTCATGAAATAAAACCAAAGAGTCAAAAGTGCTTCCTACCAGAAACAGTTGGTACCCACTGTCTCCCATTCACAGACCTAGAGACCAATGGGGAGAAAGTGATGATGTGGGACACGTGACACAGAGCTTCCTTCCAGGATTGCCATTTCCCATTAACCACGTTCACTTCTTTAATCACATCTCTCAGGTTTTCTAGACCTCGCAAGGGCGCCTCTCTTCTCCCTCTTTTATCTTCTCCAGAAGTCTACATTTCCATGCGGACTAAATCAAAGGCTTGGTACTTTAAATCAAGTTTTGGCCAACGGCAGGTGATATGAAAGTATACTTCTTAGTCTTCTCTCATTTTTCCTCCAACCAGTCCTATAACAAATGGTCTCATGTATGTACCCACCCCCTTTATTTCCTCTACTCCACTTACATGCAGCTCCCAACCCTGGATCCCCTTCTTAACTTATATACCTGGCACTGTTTTCTAGATGAGTTCTCAGTGGTAGAAGGAGAGAGGGTAAAGAGTAGGAAGCCAGAGAGTTTAAAGGGAAAGCTTAAACCAAACACACACATCCTCAGACCCCTCCCTCTGGGGCCTCTAGAGCACGCACAAACCCGAGACATGAGTGATGGTTAAAAAAATTTGGGTTTTATTGTTTTTGCTAAACAATACTAAAAAAAAAAAATTTCATTTTGAAGGCAGGGCTTGAATTATTTAATTTTGATCCATTTATTTAATTAAAAAAAAAAGGAAGGGGAAAGAGATCATGGCCAAAGCAATAGTAGTTAACCCCCACCCCACCCCCAAAGCTCTAGCCAGTCACATGAGCATCACCCATCTCCCACGCCACGGTGCCTGATATTCAGATGGTGGTACACTCTACCCACTGGACCGCCTTGCAAGTGCAGGGGCAACGGGTGCCAGTCTAACTCTCAGCAGGTTAGTCAAACCAGACAAACCGGTGGGCTGAAGTCCAGAAATTCTTCCCAGGTTTTCTGCCCATCGGCTGAGCACATACAAACTGTCATAAGCTTGTAAAACTTAAGGGGGGGTAGGGAAGGGCATAAGAGCAGGAGGTTGGCAGAAGAGAAATGATAGGTCACCCAAGCTTTCTCCTGGGCTAGTGGCTCTGGATACAGACTTAAAGAGAGGTCCGAACAGGCAGACTCCAGGTTTCTCATGAAAGAAAACCATCCTTCGAGAAGGAGCTGAGATGTGCCGTGCAAAACAGTTCTTCCTGCAGAGGGCACAGGAGAAAGGGCAGTGGACGCTCCCATCTAGGAGACAGGAGAGTGGTGAGGAAGTTCTTCTAGTACCGTGAAGTAAGACAAAGGCAGAGGGAGAATCCTGAGGTTTTTGCCAAATGGGAGACTGGTACACATACAGTTAAAGACTAAAAAGCTACCAGGAACCCTCAAAGCCAGATCCCATCTGCATACACTGGCTCTACAAAGTGCTGCAGGAGATTCTTGCTGTGAACTAAGTCAAGTTAGTTGCCTGGCTATGGGTGGTGGGGAGGACAATACACTTTTATTTTCAGAGGGATGAGGTGGGAAGAGTGGCCATGATCTAGTAAAAAGAGACCTGCAAGAAGCAGAAAATATTTAGAGAACATTTTAATATATATTTTCATATATATATTTAAAGTTAAGAAAAATAAAACTAATTCAAGCCATGCCCTGTGCAAAAAAAGAAAAACAAAACAAAACAAAACAAAAAAAAAAATTTAAAGTGAGACCTCTGTCTGCTGCTCTAGTCTCAACTTAAGTATCACAGTCAGCTTGTTACTTTTATTTTGGAAGAGAAGATGTAAAAGTTTCTTTCAATCACTCAGAAGGCAAGTGTATCCACTTATAAAAACAGAATGGCAGAGACAGACTGGGAAAGGAAAGTCAGAGGTGAAAGGGCAGAGCAGGAAAGGAATTTTCAAAAATAAAATTAACAAGGTGACTGTTCCAGAAGGGGGCTGTGAAAAGGACATGGTGGACCGAAGTCTGTTAGTCAAGTAATGATTCAACTTTTAAATTATTCTCTTGTTCTTTTCTGTTGGGTGTTTTGTTTGTTCAAGTCTAAGATTTGGAAATGCTGACCCTTTGTTGACAAGAGCCAACAGGAAATATGGAATCCCTTCCCTCCCCCGGCCTGCCTCCGCTGAAGCCACCACCATCGCCTCCTTGGCTGGATGCTGGAAGAGTCCTCTGTATGTGTGGACTCAGGATGACAGGGCAGCCTCCTTCTGTGGTTGCTGGGCTTGTGAACGCTGCAGTATCTTTTGGCTTTCCACGTCTCTAAAATGTTTTTCAACCTGAAAGAGACCAGTCAGCCTAGATCAGAAAAAGAGATGGGCACACAAGGCCTCCCAAACAGTTCACTCTAGACGTCAACAGCCCGTCCTGGCTGTCTAGCTCGTGGGTTATTCAGCACCTTTGCCCTTGCTGTCTGCTGGCCTTCCCGACAAGATAGCTGGGGGGATCCTCTTGTTTCAGCCACATTTTTTTGCAGCTTCAGCTAAGACTGTCTAAAAGAAGGGGAATCTATAAAGTAGAGTATGAAGGGAGATTATTATGACCCAAACTCCCTCTCCCCTCCTTACACAAGTGCAGAATGAAAAGCTGGTGGGGAATTACAGTCTTAAAACTTTTTACATCCACAATGTTGGTCTCTCAATGCTCAGTTTGTTTTTACAAATGCTGCAACTCAATCTAGAAAGTCAGATGACACATGAAGGGTCACAGACTCCAACAGCCACTGATGTACACCAACCAGCCCTTCTCGAGAAGAACCCTGCCTGGGTTCAGACGCAGTATCATGGGATGCTCTGGATAATTCCACACAGCCGCGCTGCAGAGCACACACTGCAGAGCACACAGGGCTCACCACTCGCTGTATTCTGCGCCGCCCAGTGGCTCCACACCCCCAAGCGTCCAAGCCGTGGCTGCAGAGCACCACGGTGCCGGGAGGCAGGGTGATCAGGCAGGGCTGCTCGCAGGCTGGCTGTGTCGAAAGGGGCAGGGACTGTGGCGTAATGTCTTGCCCTGAGGCTGGCGGGGGGAGAAGGCTGAGGAATCACCCTCTCCCTAAGGTTTCACGGCTTCTTTACTTACTATTTTGCGTACATGGCTCAGTGCACTCCCCTCTTTGCCTTTACAGTTTTCCACTTGATATGGGGGTGTAATAACAACTTCTTCCATGACTACGATGTTTTTTTCTTGCCATTTACAGTCTTTAATGCTGGAAGGAGAAGAGAGCAGGTGAAAGTTACCTCTTGCGGGGCATCCCACACCTCCTGCCTGATGAATAAATAACTCCAGAAAGCTAACCCCAAGTTCCTAGCTCACCACTCAGCCAACAACTGGTTGCCATCAGCCCACAGGGAGAAGTAGCCAAGAAACATTTCCTGGGCACCACTGGCTAGGAAAAGCAATGAAACCAATGCACACTTATTCCAAGGATGGTCCAGAAGAGTTAAGAAGCATTAGGGACCTGAAAAACCGCAGAAAACTTGGTGGCAGCCTCAGAAGTCCAAACTAATTTGACTTACAAATAAATAGCTAGGCTCAGGCCACTAGATTCAATTTAAATAGCAGCCTAGG